AATACGTACCATCTATTTCTCCGTGAGCAGTACGTTTATGGTTGGCCAGTGTAGATGTTTGCCTATAAGTCTTATTACATATATTACATGTGTACGGTTTGTTGTGGGTGTGGACCACGTGGTGCTTGTATAGACTGGAATACTCAGTGAATCTCTTGTTACAGCCATGTACTTGACAGATATATGGACGTTCACCTGAGATGATAAAATGCAAACATAATTATAAAAATAATAACGCAAGATTCATATGCGTTTTACAAATGAGAAGATTCCAAATAATGTACTTACTTCAATTGCCCTATTTCATTACGACGTCACAGTATGTTTACATCGGAAAACGATGCTCAAAAACAGTGGAAATTTGGACCCATTTATATTGTCTACTGAAGTAGAACTTCAATGAATCGTGTTTTGATATATATCATGTATAAACGATTGTTGTTCATGTACATTTTATTTGATATGCAGTCACTCTGATCCCTTCTGGCGACCATAATCCTTAGCGTTAAAACAATAAATGTTTTGATGTGACGTCATAATGAACTAGGGCAATTAAAGTTGCAGTTGTGTAAAAAAATAATTTTAACACCGTAAAAAAGTAGGTGAAACAATTTACTGTGTTTTGGACGTTATTCCTTCGTCAGAGTAAAGAGATAAAACTAGGCTAAGAGTTTATATAATTAGAGGAGCAAAGAAAGTAGACCAATAGGAGCAAGGTAGACATGGTAACGACAAATAAACAATTGAAGCAAGAGATGTGTTAGAGAAAAGAACAAGAGAGAAAAAGATATTAAAATTATCTGAAAACAAAGCGTTAAGGCCGAAAAGAATTATTATTTTATTTTAAGTTCTGTCAAAATAGATTGTTCTTCGTTGTCACATTCACGGTCTTCCTGTGGCCACAGGAAGCCCAAAAATACCACAAACATCCTACCTGAATACTAACCCAATGAAAAAAACCAAATACAAACCTGTATGTATGCGAGAATGATTCTTAAAGTTGGTAGCGCTGGCAAATGCTCGTCCACAACCCATCGCCTCACAGATATAGGGACGTTCCCCAGTATGGGTACGTATATGGACCTTGCGTATGTTAGACGTTGTAAAGGCACGACCACACCCTTCGTACGGACACTTGAATGGGCGTTCACCTGTGATATATAGAGGATATTACATAGGACATAGGCGAGCGAAGATATAGAGAATATTACATGGGCGAACGAAGATACGGATTTTATCTTCGAGTGTTGAAAAGATTTCCAAGACGAGATAAAATTGGTATCTCCAGGCGACCATATAATATTCTGTTTATCATATCATTAAATATAAAAGCAAATTATGTCGTAGAATACTTCTTCTTACTTCCACTATACTAGAGAAACCTCGAATGTGCTATTTTCACTTTGATTTGAGGCTTAGCCGCAAATCGAAGAAAATGAAAATTTGTAGGCCTGTGTAATGAAAATATTTTTCCGTGCTTTCTTTTGTTTTTGGTAAATTCAGTGCGCATGAGAGACTGCTGTCAACTAAAGCAGCGGTTTCTCGCTTGGAACGCGAAAAAGGCGCATGTTTCTACACTAATCAGCTCGCTAGCTAAGGGGTCTTTTGTTTGATACGGCCTAGAGAGTTGTTTCTGCGTCTTTACCTGTGTGTGTTCTAATGTGTTTCTGTAAGTCCCCGGATGTTTTGAAGGCTTTATGGCAATCGTCATGCACGCACTTGTAAGGTTTTTCTCCAGTATGGGTTCGCGTATGGCTCTTGAGACCATATCCAGTGGCAAACGCTTTGTCACAATCTTCAAATGAACATTTGAATGGCTTCTCCCCGGTGTGAGCTCGTTCGTGAACCTAATGACGAAAACATATTTTAGGAGGAGCCGACGGTTTCCTGGGAGAAATATATCTGTTCTTATGTCCCAGCCAGCTGTAAGTCACAATTGGTTGCCAGCGAGAAATTCAGGAAATAATAAATCTCCAGGCAAGGAATACTTTCTAAGAATTTTTGTCAGGAAAATAAAAATTTCCGAACTAAAAAAAATGTAGAAGTTTTTGACCATAAAAACGTTATATAAGCCTTTTTTGACCTTAAAAAAACGTTTGCCTTGGTTTGGCAGGAACAAAATTATTTTAAAGAAGGAAGGGCTCCACATTTGCTTGTGAGATTGTCAATGATGTACCTCAAAATCCCTTTCACAGGAAAAAAACGCACAAGAACAGTTGTTTAGACGAGAACAAACCCCGTCGGCTCCTCCTGATATTTGGCTATCTAGAGCGTGCTGCAGGCAATCTTTTTCTCTCGGTCACGTTGCAATGTCTTAGTAGTCACACACAAAGGAATCAAGACGAGGCGCCGTGCATAAAATTAAGTCATTTGAGAATAGACAATACCACGCCTTACACCACCCCTCCAAAGTATCTTCATCTTCTTTGAATTATGTCTCCCCCAACCCCACCCCTCCAGAGTATCAGCTCCTTTACCTCAAGATGATGTGCCGTCGTGTCAACACGCCCACACTTCTCATGTTCACATCAATAGTGTCTTACCCCCACCCCACCCCTCCAGAGTATCAGGTTTGTTACCTTAAGGTGATGCGCTGTGGTGTAAACACGCCCACACTTCTCATGTTCACATCGATATGGTGTCTTACCCCTACCCCACCCCTCAAGAGTATCAGGTT